AATAGACATGGCTCGCAGAGAGGCCAGCTTATAAGTGTGACATTAATGCTATAAAAGTTAAAGCGCAGAGAAGATGAGATAAAATTATACTTAAAGAGTTATTGGGGCTTATTTAAATGGGAAGTAACAAATCTTTTGAGGCCGCTTGTATCCTATACCTTAGTTCGTAAGGAAGATTGAGAGAGTCATGGTCAAATAAAAGAATAAAATATTCCAATATAACTTTTTTTTTCTTGAAAAGTAAAGCAAACAGATGTGCTGATTTACATTTCATCTCCTTTTCCTTAGTCTGTCCATGTGAATGTGCTGTGTGGAAGAGTTAAAGGGCCCAACTAAATGTTCCAGTCATTCCAATAGGTATTCCAAATTAATTGCTGCTTGTACATTGTATAATGGTTATGTTAGGCTTCCAGAATCACTTTAAATAGGACCCTATTTTTTAAGATGGGGGAAAAGAGTAATTGGTAACCAGATAGAGTATAACAGAAAAAAAGGTGTTTTATCCTGCATATCTTAAGTGTGCATTTTGTGTGTTCTTAGCAATTGGCAGTCTTGATTAGGTGTATACAGGTGTACATGCAAATAGACCTGAGTCCTATCAAAGTTAGATTATTTTTCTGATTTTATCTGTTTAACTTTTGGCAATACATTTATTTTGATACCCACCCTACTTGGAAGAGTGTAACTACTTCCTTACAACGTTCTGCTGTAAAATGGTGCTCAGGAGACCTTTCTGTCCTTGGTTGTGCAAAGCAAATTCACAAATACTAGAAATGGTTTTACTAGCTTATGAAAATTTGGAAAATAGATTGACATCTTTTTCGAGAATGCAGTGATAAGTTCGTATATTGAAGTATATAAAATCAACTAGGAAGTAAATTCAAGACCGAAGGAATGTGAGGGCTTCTGTGAGCTTTGGTTGTGTCAGTCCAGAACATGTAATTTTCCATTTACCTGAAAAAGACTTCAGAGGACATTTATTTTCCCGACTATGCACTCCAGGATGTCTTTAGGTGAAATGAGAGGGCTTGGGCTGATTCCGAATGTAGCTGTCAGAGTTTGCTTAATGAAATGCGGATCTACTCACAAAAGCAATTTATTAGTTTCTGAAGAGTAGGCAACTTGTGGTTTCATAACCATTTCTGTACATTTGAGAAAAATCGTAAATCTACAGAAGAGGAAATACTCATTTCAAAAATAAGCTTTGAATTTAGTTGCTAAGGCATATATGTTTTATTTCACATGACTTCATGGTATCAGTGAAGAAACATTTCTGTGGAAACTTAGTGTTTAAGAAGCCAATATATGCAGAGATTGATTACTTTGATATCGTCTGAGGGTATGCCATATAATAAATAGGTGGTTGACAACATACAGGACTTAATTCTTAGAAGAATCAAGAACAGATAACCAAAGTGAACAATAGAAACCTCTCAGAATTAGTATTTGCCTATTAATCAGTGTAGCCTTCTCAGCATAAAAGTACTTAAATGTCCTTATTCTAGAAAAATGGAAGTGTAGGACAAATGCAATGGTTGAAAGCACTGAAAAAACTTGTAAAACATCTGTAGTGCTCACGTAAACTTTAATACTTTGAAAACTATCTTCATGATTTTTTTGTTCTAATGGCTTCCTTTTTAAGAAAACATTTTTAAAATGTTTAAAGATGGAACTTAATGTGTAAAATAAGTTGTGTAAAATGCCAGTATTTGTGTGGTAGAGGATATTGGTATGCTATATTGGCCTGGCTTGAAGACTACTGGACTGTTTTAAGATACTTACTTCCAAAACTTATTTTATTCTAGAGGACCACTAAAAACCAGAATTACAGCAATCATTTTAATTTTCTACTTTCCTTGTTAAGGTCTTCTGCTTACCCAAAGAATAGTGTATATCTTTACATGACTTTTAAAGGGGTGTCTTGATCCCCATCACAGATTTTTATCTAGGAATAGAAGGATTCAAACCCTATTTGATCCCTAGCTCTTTGCTGAAAAGTGCATAAACAGGAATCCTGAATTTATTATATAGACCTCCTCGCATTTTGTAATCGAAGCAAAGGGAAACCAGCGATGGAGTAGAGGTACGTAGACTAAACAGATGCTTGCAAATCAAATGATGCTACGTAGGGATAGTCACGTTCTCCTGTTGCCAAACTTAGTCAACAGAAATCACAAGCCCAGAGAAGAGCTTCCCCGAGGCCCTTTTACTGAGATGGAAAAGCACAAGTAGTCAAGGAAAACCAAAGAGGGAGGGCAAGGGAAGGGGGAAGTGCATAAAGCACTTGTTTTTAAAAGTAGGTATGATAGATAACCCACAAGAAGTTTTTAAGACGACTAATAACCATAATTCTATTTTAATCAGCTATTTAGCTGGTACCTACTGCTATATCACCTAGTGTGACATTTTGGAATTAATGGAACAATGAAGGAAGCTGTACGCTGAAGGTTCCAAGTGGTCTTGGAAGGTAGGTTACTCTCACAGTTTGAAATTAGAAGGTGTTCTGAAAGTATAGATGAGAAGGGAAGGGGAACCTGGACTATCTTAGTGAACATTTGGTAATTTGGTCTTGCATTTATTGACTATTTTGTGCCAGATACTTGGATGAGAATGTAAAGATAAAAATGGCCAAGGTTTTTGCCAGCGAGACACTTAGGTTGTATGTGATTGTACCAGACACTGGTGACCGAGAGAAGTGCCAAATACTGTAACAGATAAGACAGAAAATAGTGAGAACTTAAAAGGTGATTGTAATTCTCAGAGGCTACTGAGCAAAAGAATGGAAAGTTATGGAGAGGAGGTAAAAAGGCATTCCAAGCGAAATGAAGTTTGAGTGTTGGCATGGATATGGTATAAAGGTCACAGTGCATTGAAGGTTTGGCAAAGAAACTAAATACAGTTGGGATGTAAAGTTGGATAGTAAGGTAGAAATTTATTGGGAGAGACTGGAACTGTCTTAACAGTCTCCTTATTGAGGGTGGGTGTTACAGACTTTAGTAAATTTATTAATACACTTTGTAAAACCTTAATAGCACAAGAATAAAAATTATTAGTGATCATGTAAATACCTGAAACATTTATAATCCAACCAAGTATGTTACAACTTTGTTTTTATCCAGGTTTCCAGTTTATGCAAACTTCTACTGTGAAAATGAGCTAACCTTGTTATTGGTGAAGGCATTGGAAATTTTGCCAGCCAAGAGAGCTTCTTTCTTATTCAGGGTAAGATGTCACTGCAGTGTGCTAGCATTGGAAGGGACCCGTTATACATGTTACATATATTACATGTCAGCCCTCCATGTCTTCCAGTTCCACATCCTTGGATTCAACCGTGGGTTGAAAATACTGGAGGTAAAAAGCCAAAAAATAACACTGTAACTTAAACAGAAGTTTAAGAACACATGGTATAATAACTATATTTACATAGCATTTATTTTGTAGTAGGCATTGTAAGCAATCTAGAGATGATTTAAAGTATATGGGAGAATGTATATAGATTTTTTTTCTTTTGAGACGGAGTCTCACTCTGTTGCCCAAGCTGGAGTGCAATGGTGTGATCTCTGCTCACTGCAACCTCCGACCCCCAGGTTCAAGAGACTCTTGTGTCTCAGCCTCCCAAGTAGCTGGGACTATAGGCATACACCACCATGGCGAAACCCTGTCTCTTCTAATAAAATTTTTGTATTTTTAGAAGGGTTTTGCCATATTGGCCAGGCTAGTCTTGAACTCCTGACCTCAGGTGATCCACCTGCCTCGGACTCCCAAAGTGTTGGGATTACAGGTGTCAGCCACCAAGCCCGGTGGAATTTTTTAACAGTTACTTGGTTATGACCAATTTGGATAATGTAGACTGCATGCAACTTTGCTTTGTGCCACTAGGAGTGGGCAAACTGTCTTTTACTTTTTGTAAATCAGTAAAACTTTTCCCTCGATGTGTGTTTGACAGTGTCATTCACTGCTAAGTTAGGGCATTTGGTAAACCACACAGCCTCTGCGTCACCCTTCTAGCGACAGCTGCAAGAAAAGGTGGGCATGGGAGGGAAAATGCTCTTGTGAATTGAACTGGAGCAAGCTCCACTTTTCTTTAGAAAAAGACACAGATCAAAATAATATTTTTTTCCTTGCTGTTTCTGACTTCCATGATACATCAAAGTAATAGGACCAGTAATGGCCACAATCCTGTTGACTGCAGGTATCTTCCAATATTTCTTGTAAGCATTTCTTAAGGCTCTAGCTTGTGTTTTGTTATTAATAGATTTTTTTAAAGTACTGTACTGATTAAAACCAGAAATAACTTCATTTTCCTAGAAAGGGAGAATTTCTCCTGGATGATTAAATACTGAGGATTTAGTTGGATGCTGTGGCTATTATTTTAAGTAATATTTTAATGGGAGCAGCTTTCAAATAGATTGTTTAAATTAATAAGTAATTCTGCAATTCTTTTTCTATTGCATCAGTCTCCCAAACAAATCTCACGTGCATATTTAAATTCAGAACTAAACTAATTATACTTAAAAATAAAAACCCTGCAAAAAATGTTGAGGGCATTTAAAAACAACTCTTTTGGAAGATGACTCAAATTCTAAGAAATGAGAAAACACTGTCAAATGATGGATGCATTTAAAAAGTGATTTGCAAAGTGATAAAATCCCTTAGTTTTAAATCTTGTAATGACATTAGCTGCTACAAGAAGCCAGTAAGTATTTGCTTGCTTTTAATGGGATCCTAGTAAGGTTGAGGTTTTTGTTAAGGGAAGTTTACTTATCATTAAACTCTAAACTTATTACAAGGAAACTCTTTCCAAGTACATTAAACACTAGGGCTTTTTTTTTTTTTTTTTTAACACTACGTTTTTATTGGCCCCACTGCCAATACATTCTGTTCACCTTTTAAGTATGAGAAGTCCACTATATGTAAGATGTGATAGTCCTACACTGGCAGTAGATATAGGGCCAGAATTAATCGCCAAGCTTTCATTCCATACAAGGGTGGGAAGAAAATGACTGCAACTTAAACAAACTTTATTTACTTGATTGAGAGCTTATTGTACATGAACTGTTTTATGTAGTTGATCTTAGCTGCATTCACACTGACTTCAGGGAGTCTGGTTTTCTATGCTCAAGGTTGTTCAATTGCTGCTATTACGGTTGTTTTGTTTTCTTTCAGGATCGAGGTGGGTACCTTCATATAATAACTTATTTTTCATTCCTTGTCTGGTAATTCTTTGCTGGATTTTTTGCTTTGCATAATTATACCTACAGTGAAACCTTGGAAGAAAAGAATATGAAAAAATTATTAATACAAAGTCCTACAGAAATTAATTTGTGGAATTTCTCTATAAATCACACAAAACGTAAATACGTAACAGATGACTACCCTGAGACTGAAAAACATGAATGTTCTAATTTGGAGTGCTATTATCAACACATTCTTTTTTATTATGAAACAGAAGGATATCTACATAACAATTTGTAAAGTGATAAAATCCATTAAGTTTTTCTTTTTTTGAATGCGGACAGGCGGTGGCTCACCTTGAGGTAGATTGCCTGCCCGCTCCCAAGATCCAATTAGTTTGGCCGGGCGCGGTGGCTCATGCCTGTAATCCCAGCACTTTGGGAGGCTGAGGCGGGTGGATCACGAGGTCAAGAGATCAAGACCATCTTGGCCAACATGGTGAAACCCCGTCTCTATTAAAAAATACAAAAATTAGCTGGGTGTGGTGGTGCCCGCCTGTAGTCCCAGCTACTCGGGGAGGCTGAGGCAGGAGAATTGCTTGAACCTGGGAGGTGGAAATTGCAGTGAGCCAAGATGGTGCCATTGCACTCCAGCCTGGCGCCTGGAGACAGAGCAAGACTCTGTCTCAAAAAAAAAAAATCAGTCTTCTGATGGCATTGGTTATTGCAAGAAACCAGTAAGTATCTGCTGTATGCTATGTCTACATAAAATGATTTCTGTCACCTTAAATAGATCACTCTAGAACTTCATGTATAAAGGAACCACACTGTATGTGTATATATACTATAAGGTCTGGCAAATATTTGAGATTCATCCACATTTTATATTCACTCATCAATAGTTGTAAACACATTCTTATGTGAAGTGTAGATACCACAGCTTTCTTTTTAATGGGATGTCTAATATCATGCATTTATCTGTTCAAGCATTTTAAGACAGATTTCCATGAAAATGTCCTTAAAAATCAAGATGCATTCTTCAGTGAGGGTGAGAATCTCCCAATGGGAGATTGCTCTGAAAAGAGCGTGTGCTTTTTAAATTAGATAACATATTATCATCATGGATGTTCTTGAATACTTAGCAAACATACCAGCATCCCAAAGTCACCAAGATAAATCCTCCTACTCCAACATCACATGATCTTCTAATTCTACCTGTCAAAAATAAGCATAACCAGTATAATCAATTAGAATTACATTTTATATACGTTAGTTACTCCATCTAGAAAAAAACAGCTAATCACATAAATGCTTTTTTAATACATAGAGAAATAAAAAAGCACAGATACTCACTAGTTAACAAAAAATGTCCAAAGCCAGCCACAACAGATCCTAATGAACCATACAGTACTGAATCCCGGGCGCAGGGAATATTTTCAACATCTAAAATTCCTAGGAGCTTAAAAGGCTAGAATAAAAAAAACAAAACCCTAGATTGAGTAAGAAAGTCATTTTATTTTAGGGTGGTTTGACAAAAGTTACACCATTTCTTTTGTTGTAGTTAAGGGTTTAAACTAGAATATACCATGTGACAACCTAAATCAGCTTGCATTGTATCTGTCCAGCTTTGGTATGCAGTCTGAATCTCTAAATCCGAAAACCTTAAAAATTGGCCCAGAAAACCCTAAGCAATAGGGTAACATTGAGCTATATCTTAATTTGCTAACCACTTGACTTGGAAATAGGAAACATTTTATTTTATGAGCTCTTTAAATGAGTTTATTTAGGAATATGGCTATTACTGAAATTGGAAGCAGCACAGTTTGCTTCAATAAATCCAATAATTTGGGAAGCAGAAACGGGAAAATAATTCATGTTTGCTTACGTAGTGCTGTTTAAAATTTACCCAATAATTGCCTTTCAGGTTTTATTAATATTAACTAGGCTAACATCAACTGTGGTTGTAATATTTCATTTTAAGATAAACATGGGCAATATGTTCAGCTCTTCTAGTCTCTGTTTTCTTGCCTGTGAAGTTAGGTTGCACTTGATTATATTTGATTCTTTGTTCATAATACATGGTAATGACAGCTAGGTATGGCAAAAAACCTGGGAATCCAGAGAGCTGGATTTTTGTCTCAGATCTGCCACTAACTTTTGTATTCTATAGGTTATTTTAATCTCCATGGTCTCAATCTGTAAAATGAACGGGTTGGTTTAGATGATGAAGTTCCTTTAAGTACTAAAATGACTTCTTTTTCTACGGTCTGGGTTGGATTTATGTATTTCTTTTTCCCAATATGTTTAACTGAGATGTCTGTTACTCTAGAGCGGCGAGACAGACATTTAAAAGTAACAGTCACACTGTTGAACTGGCATTTGTTAACACAAAAGTTTAGAAAACTCATAACCGTTTTCTAAAGTGTATATAAAGTTTTCAGTAAGACAGCTTTTAAAAGGAACCACTGTCCATTTAAAGGTTGCATAGTATTGTTTGGGGCAGGACATTAAATTAGAAGAGGATTCTGTAGGATGAGGTGATACCTAGAAAAGAAATGGGGAAAGGACAGTAAAAGGCAAGTCAGATTAAAGGTTGAAACACGAAGATACTCTCAATTGTATTTCTGCCTATGTTTGCTTCTTTGGCTGAAGCATCTGCTGGAAGAAAAAAAATGTGATTTGGTTCATAATAAAGTAAAAAATATTTGCTCTCTTGGATCATTCTATGTCATTTTTTTCTTTTTCCCCTCTCCCTATCTGGCTCCCTGCCCCCACCTGCATGCCTAACATAGGGTTGCTTACCAAGAGGTTGGGGGATTTCATTTAGCAAAAAGACTTTCTCCTATCGGCTTGAAAGCGCAGGGGACACATGACCATGGGGACAGTGGTATGCAGATGGGGAATGCTAGACTTTGCACTCCAGTCCAGGGCTATAGCTCTAAACTATTTCCCCAAGGACTGGATGCTGGGGCCAGAGGGTTAGTAACAGTTTTATCTAGTCTTAGGTGCAAAGATGCAAGTGTGAGATCAGCTTCTACCACAAGAGTAGAACGAAGTATTTTCTTTTTTTTTTTTTTTGAGAGAGTTCTGTAGTCTCTGCTTCCTGGTTCAAGCAATAATTCTCCTGCCTTAGCCTCCCGAGTAGCTGGGACTACAGGCGCACGCCACCACACCCAGCTAATTTAGTAGAGACAGGGTTTCACTATGTTGGTCTCGATCTCTTGACCTCGTGATCGCCCGCCTCGGCCTCCCAAAGTGCTGGGATTACAGGTGTGAGCCACAGTGCCCAGCCTAGAACTGAAGTATTTTCTAGTCCTACTCTCAGATTCTGATCAGATCCATGATGGACCATGGGATTTTTTTTTCTGGTGACTATTAGATTGGGAAAACACTGATTTAGAAAATTTTAATTTTAACAAAAGCAAACTTGCAAACAATAGAATATCTCAGCTGACTTTAAAGGCAAATATCTAAATAGAAGCTACACATCCTATTTAAAATTGTGCCTTCTAAGACAAAGCCAACCCCCAGCAAAACTATCTGGTCTAGAATAACAGTGGCTGATCTCATAATAAGAGCTGCTGGTTGGCAGGGGCGGTATTGGTGCCAGGCCCTCTATATGTTTTGTGATTTTCCAGCCTCTGTCAGATTACCTCTGAGACACTTAAGACACTAATAAGTGTTGGCAGAAGTGGAGGCAGAAAAGTCAGCTCTGACCCCAAAAGCCTATGAGATCCATTGTGCCAAACCACATCATTAAGAAATAACCAAGTCCGGAGGGTTTCAGGGGAGCTTTCCAGTTGTCACATATCTAAGGAGGAATACTACTAAGTCAGTAAATACATGCAATTTTTATCAAAACTGGGGAAGAATATACAAAGACTTATTTTAAGATGGCAATTTTCCCTTTTATAGACAATCTTCAGCCTCCTGGTAGAGTTGGAGGTCAGACTACTAGTGACTTGAAGTGTGTTTACCTTTATGGTTAAGTACACTGAGCTGTCAGATGCTCGGAAGTGGAGATGAATAAAGGATCCCAGGCATAACTTACTTTGAAGTACTCTGTTTATATACAGAAATATTCTGTCCATAATATGCATGCCTTTAACATTTCTATCCCTTAAATAACCTGCAAACTAACTCTTGCCACTAACAAATGTTAGATAGAAAAGCAGCTTTACCAACTCACCTTGATGGATCTAAGGAAAGCTCAAGAGATTTTCAAGCCAGAATGTCAATAATGGATAGAAATAGATCTCACCAAATGATAGCCAGTTGATCTTCCACCACTAAATCTGCTTCAGGGCCTGGATCTGCCTTTGCTCTGGTTGCAAAGGATGAATCGGCCCTACTCCCTATCTAAAACTTGAAGGGAGCACAGGCAGGAAGACCAGTTAGGAGGTCAAACAGGTAAGGGCCGGGCGTGGTGGCTCACGCCTGTAATCCCAGCATTTTTGGAAGGCTGAGGCGGGTGGATCACCTGAGGTTAGGAGTTCAAGACCAGCCTGGCCAACATGGCAAAATCCTGTCTTTACTAAAAGTACAAAAATTAGCCAGGCATGGTTGCATACGCCTGTAATGCCAGCTACTTGGGAGGCTAAGGCAGAATCACTTAAGCCCAGGAAGTGGAGGTTGCAGTGAGCAGGGATTGCACCACTGCACTCCAGCCTGGGCACCCGCTCTCACACACAAAACCCTCTGTATACCTGTCTCCCCTCACCAGCCTCCTAAACTACCATCCAGTTTTCTGCTGCCTTTCATAGCAAAACTTGAGTCTAGATGTGCTTTTCTACTTAAAACTTCCCATTCACCCTTTAACTCGCTCTAGTGAGGCATCTATCCACTGAACACCACTTGACACCACAATCAAGATCTCTGAAAGACATCCACTTTGCAGTCTGTCTTACTCTGCATCTCAGCATATATGGCACAACTATCATTTGTTTTTGGAGCTATTTTTACTTGGCTTCAAATACAACGTCTCGTGGTTTTCCATTTCACTGAATTTTTTGTTGCTGTTCCGTCTTTTACAGTGCTGATTTTGAAGTGCCACTCTTAACCTCTTATGGAATCTAGTCTCTTCCTAAGTATCTCAAGGCTTTCAGTTAAATGCTATTAGATGATGCCTCCAGATTTCTAGATCAAACTCTAATCTATCCCAACTTCAGCCTCATTCATCTGCTTATTGAACCACACTTTTTTTTTTTTTAAATATTGTCATCCTTGTGCAGGGGCCATGCTAATCTGTGTCATTCCAATTTTAGTATATGTGCTGCTGAAGCGAGAACGGAACCACACTTTTATGTATAAAAAGCACCTTGTACCTAGTATTTGCAAAATAAATTTCACCTCCAAACCTGCCTCTTAATGGCACACTACTCAACCCATTTTCAGACCCAAAACCTGAGTCATCCTTGATTCCTTCACCAAATCCATGTTCAATACATTAGCAAGTCTGGAAGGATCTGCATTTAGAATACATCCTGAACCAAACCACTGCCCACCAACTTCACTGCCAATACAGGGTGAGCATCCCAAATCCGAAATAATCCAAAATCTACAGCTTTTTGAGCACTGATATGACACCAAAAGAAAATGCCTTTTTTTTTATTTGGGAAGCTCAATCTGTACTATCAAATGACCATCTATCAACAGTGCCTGTTAGATCTTGATTTTATTCATAAAAATGTGTATCAGATGACTATAATAAACCCACCGTGGCTTTCAATTATGCTTAGATTCTTTTTTTTTTTTGGAGCTGGAGTCTCTGTCGCCAGGCTGGAGTGCAGTGGTGCGATCTTGGCTCACTGCAACCTGTGCCTCCTGGGTTCAAGTGATTCTCATGCCTCAGCCTCCCAAGTAGCTGGGATTACAGGTATGCACCACCACATACAGCTAATTTTTGTATTTTTAGTAGAGATGGGGTTGCACCAGGTTGGCCAGGATGGTCTCAATCTCCTGACCTTGTGATCCGCCTGCCTCAGCCTCCCTGTGTTGGGATTACAGGTGTGAGCCACCTCGCTCAGCATGCTCAGATTCTTACCATTGCTCCAAAGGCCCCACATGATCCTGTGCTTTTTCAGCTCCCACTCTAGTCCACTAGTCCAGGCACAGTGGCCTTGCAAGTGTCCTCTAGCAAGCCGAGATGAACACATGCCGTCTTTCTCCTGGATCTTGGCATGGTTGGCTCAGTAAACAAGTCTTGCTTATTGATTCCCCAATAGAACGTCAGCTCCTTAAAGGGATTTTTCCTGTCTTAATGAGTCTAGTACCTAGTTTAGTGCCTAATACTCAGTAGATACTCTGTAAATATATTTGAATGGGTGAATTAAGAATTTACCTGAATGTGAATTTACCTGTATGTACCAAATTTCACATTTTAAAGTTTCTTGAAGGACAAGTATGTGGCAGAGGATGGTTTTCAGGGGCTAGTTCTATTAAGGTATGCCAGCTTGGTAATTTGCATTTTTACTTTAGGTTTACTAACTCTTTTTTTTTTTTTTTTTTTGAGACGGAGTTTCACTCTTGTTACCCAGGCTGGAGTGCAATGGCGTGATCTCGGCTCACCGCAACCTCCGCCTCCTGGGTTCAGGCGATTCTCCTGCCTCAGCCTCCTGAGTAGCTGGGATTACAGGCACATGCCACCATGCCCAGCTAATTTTTTTGTATTTTTAGTAGAGACGGGGTTTCGCCATGTTGACCAGGATGGTCTCGATCTCTTGACCTCGTGATCCACCCGCCTCAGCCTCCCAAAGTGCTGGGATTACAGGCTTGAGCCACCGCACCCGGCTACTAACTCTTAAAATAAAATAATCCTTCTCCCTGAGTTGTGCTGGAATGATCACTGACAGATTTTTTTTTTTTTTTTGAGATGGAGTCTCCCTCTGACATCCCGGCTGGAGTGCAATGGGGAGATCTCGGCTCACTGCAACCTCTGCCTTCACGGTTCGTGATTCTTCTGCCTCAGCCTCCCGAATAGCTGAGGCTGTAGGCACGCACCATCATGCCCAGCTAATTTTTGTATTTTTAGTAGAGACGGGGTTTCACCATGTTGGCCAGGATGGTCTCCATCTCTTGACCTTGTGATTTGCCCACCTCGGTCTCCCAAAATGCCTGGATTACAGGCATGAACCCCTGCGCCCGGCCCAAAATTCTTTTTTAAAACATCACCACAGGCTTCCTTTCTGCCATTACCTTGGGCTGTTAATTAGTCATAGCTTATATTAATTTAATTAGCTTTTTGATGAGCTCTGATAGGTACTGCTGTTTCATGAGCAATTTCTTTTGGCTTCCCACATCTATGCTGTTTTGAGGCTTATAATTATTCTTCATTTCAACAACTACAATATTGTTTTGCTGTGTACTGATGAGCCAATTAAATAGGTCAATGTTGATCTTTTTTTTTTTTTCCATTAAGTTCTTTTTAAAAAATTTCCAATGGATTAAACCACCTTTATGACCTTTAAAAACAGCTGTTATCTCCTATCCAAAAGTCCCATTCAAGAGTCCAGTGTTTATCACAAAGCTGGATCTAGGATTTATTATGTGTAGTTATGGTACACCATGAACTAAAAAGTTTCAAACAAGGATTTTTTTTTTTTTTTTTTTGAGACGGAGTTTTGCTTTTGTTGCCCAGGCTCAATCTCAGCTCACCACAACCTCCACCTCCCGGGTTCAAGCAATTCTCTTGCTTTGGCCTCCCAAGTAGCCGGGTTTACAGGCATGTGCCACCATGCTCGGCTAATTGTTTTGTATTTTTAGTAAAAACAGGGTTTCTCCATGTTGCTCAGGTTGGTCTCGAACTCCTAACCTCAGGTGATCCACCCACCTTGGCTTCCCAACAGGCATAAGCTACCACCGCGCCCGGCCATAAGGAGCCCTTTTTACAAAACAAACAAACAAACAAAAACACACTAAACTTATTCCAAATGGGCAGTGGATGGGACAGTAAAAACAGATGAGGCACCAGTAGTAGTATGTAACTTGGCAAAACTTTTTGATGTTAAATTATGAAAACAATTTATACAGTATTTGTTAATATTAACTATATGATCTTATGCTTTGGCCAAATTTAGATGGAACCCCACCAGAGAAGCCAGAGCAAGAAGTGAGAAAAATTTCCAAGCTGAGAGAATATTTTATATATCATTATCTGGAAAGTATATATTAGGAGCCATTTAGCACACAGTGGGTCTTCTATAAATATCTGCTCATGATTAGCCAATGTTACATCTCCATAATTTATACTAAAATACTTTTTTTCCTCTTGCATTATCCTTTCGTGAACACCTGTTCTGCCCTGAGGATATAAATTGGGTTCCCTGCTCTTAATAAGGAGCCCAGGCAAAGACAAAGACAAGATCATTTATTACCTTCCAATATGATAAACGTAACGACGTACAAGATCCCTGGGAAGATGGGGAAAGCACTTAAGTCATCTTTGGAGGAACAGGAGCCCTTCCAGGGAGAGCATTTGGTTTAGCTTTACTATGCCAAGAATTTGGGTTTTATCCTTAAAGAGATAGGATGGGCTGCTGGAACTGGATGTTAGGCAGAGGGATCAAACTGTCCAGTTTACCGGTTGGAAAGGACCAGAGGACAATAGTGGAAGGTGGATTGAGGAGACGGCATCGAGACGGCCACCAGCTAGGGAGGCCACTGGTGACGGGGGAGAAATCTCAACCCTTCAACGTAGGACACTCAAGTCATCCCTCAGCAATTACTGCTCCCTCTACGTTAAATGTGACGAATACAACTTTAAAGACAAGGCACCTGTCCTCAGGGAGCTTTTTAGTCTCTACTACTAGCCTTTACTAGCAAATTACAGTGCAGTGCCCTTAGCAAAAAAATTTCTCGCCAAAAGATTCCGTACTGTTAGTTTATTTCATAGTGACTACTGCTGGTCCCCTTCTCCCTCTAGTTTTGGCCAATTTTTTTCCAGCAACTTAGATTAAAATGTTTAAAGTGAGCACCAGGAGCTCACCAACTGAGCTACGCGGCCTGTAATCCCAGCACTTTGGGAGGCCGAGACGGGTGGATCACAAGGTCAAGAGATCGAGACCATCCTGGTCAACATGGTGAAACCCCGTCTCTACTAAAAATACAAAACATTAGCTGGGCATGGTGGCGCGTGCCTGTAATCCCAGCTACTCAGGAGGCTGAGGCAGGAGAATCGCCTGAACCCAGGAGGCGGAGGTTGCGGTGAGCCGAGATCGCGCGATTGCACTCCAAACTGGGTAACATGAGTGAAACATCGTCTCAAAAAAAAAAAAAAAAAATGTCTAAAGTGTCCTATTAATAGGACTAGGAACAATTAAAATAGTTTCGAGCCCAAGGGTGGCAGAGAAGCCAGTGACACGTGCTCCGGGCCTAGGAGCCCCGCGGAGGCCGTCCTTACCCATCGCCCACCCCGTTCTCCCACCCGCGGCGCGCGCCCCGGGGGCCACTGAGTTACCTTCCGCTTCGCGGGCTCGTCGGGCTCCGGCACGGCGGCCATTGGGACGACTCCGCGCCTCCACCAGCCCTGCGCGGCCTGTGCCCCCAGAGCTGCCGGCCGGCCCGCGGCGCTCCTCCCCGTCCCGCGCCTGCGCGCCGCCGCCTCCCGCCCCGTCCCCACGCGCCGGCCGCCATTTTAGAGAACGTTCCTAACGCTCCGCAGTGGCCGCGCCGCGCCGGCGATTAGGCTGCGAGGTCCTTTGTTCTATGGAACGGGTGACACTTTCTTCCCAGCTCGGCACACAGCCAGCAGGGCCGGGAGCGCAGAAGGAGAAGCGTTCGGGAAACAAACCGGCTCCCTGACTCCTGGCAGGGCGGGGCGGAACCGAGCCAGACTGCTCCACTTCCCGCCCCAACCCCCCTCTCCGCCCCGACCGCCATTTCTAACCGTCTCCGGCGCGCGCGCTCGCTCACGTGCACGAGCACCGGGCGCGCGCCGAGGGGTGGGGCCGCGGCGGAGGGAGCGGGCGCGGCGCTGCTGCTTTGTCCCGCGGGGTGGGCCCCGCCGCGGGGGTCAGCTCGGCCCCAGCCCGCCCTGGCGCCCCAGCCCGCCCCGGCCCACCGGCCCGGAAGTCGCTTCGCGCTGCTCGGCGGTCCTCGTCCCCTAAGTGTCTTTTGTCCTTCCGGCCACGGGACGAGCCCTTGGTGCCCAAGCGGCCCCACTCCGCCCCTGCAGCCATTTAGTCCCAAGTGCCTGCCTCGTGCAAACGGGGCTCCCACGCCCACCCCGCTTCCTCCCTGTTGTAATAAGTTTCTTTACTAAGTGGCTTTAAAATAGCACCGCGCAGTTCGTGTGAAGGAGACTGGGGACAAAATGGAGGGAGCAGCTAGCTGATGTACATGCGTCAGGACGTTGGTGTCTGCGGGGAGGGTGCGCAGGGGACGAGGTCTTCCGGCGTTCCAGAAAAATGGCTCTGCAGCGTGCATCTTTGATGTGAAGTGGTGGTCCACGTTTCACTCCTCCCTACGACTGCGGCATAACGAGAAACAAAATACTGCATATTGGCGAGCCCAGTCGAGAACGCGTGCGTGCAAGGTCGAGCCCATTTTCCAGCGATCAAAATAATGCAATTCTTTCTAGTATTTAATTTTTCCCTTTCAACCTTATGCTTCCTTTATTTATGTACTTGTACATTTCACGTTTAGGCTAGGTGCATTTCGAAGGGCACTCCTGGGAGACTGGACTTGTAGAGTATGTCATTGTGCAAAGTCATGCTGCTTTGAATTATGCTACTCGCTGGCACACAGCACTCCATGTTAACGATGTTGAATTCATATTAGTACCGTTCATTGGGCGGTTTTTTAAATCCATAATGACCTGTCT